GCTCACAACGTGACGGGACAACATTGTAATGAGTAATTGAATGTATGCGGACAAAATATTGTTGGCCACGTGCGATATAGCGTTTGTTATAGCGCGACTGTTGAAAATAAGTGTATCGTAAAGTTGTATTCGGAAAGAATAAACCAGTTTTATTAAGTAAGGACTTGTGTCGCTAAAGTTTCGTCGGAACGAAGTTCCGGAAAATCAACTGACAACTGGACGTGTAACAAATTGGTGTCAGAAGTGGGATATAAAAGAAAAAGAAGAAGAAGAAAAAGAGAAGATGGAAACGAGAAGCGGCAAATCAAACTACAGCTTAGCAGATTTGATGGCAGCAATACAAGAACAGCAAAAGAAACAAGAAGAGAGACAACAGCAGTTGCAAGGAAACCTGCAACAATGGCAGCTCAAACAACAAAATAAACAAGAAAAGAAACAAGAAGAGAGAAAACAGCAGTTGCAAGAAAACCTGCAACAGTGGCAGCTCGAACAACAAAATAAACAAGAAGAGAGATTACAGCAGTTGTTGGAGGAAAAAGAAAAGAAACAAGAAGAAAGATTACAGAAGTGGCAAGAAAACCTACAACAATGGCAGCTCGAACAGCAAAATAAACAAGAGAGACTACAGTAGTGGCTGGAGGAGAAAGAAAATAAACAAGAAGAGAGACTACAGCAGTGGTTGGAGGAGAAAGAAAATAAACAAGAAGAGAAGTTACAGCAGTTATTAGAAGAGAAAAAATAAACAAAAAGAGACGTTACAGCAGTTGTTGGAGGAAAAAGAAAAGAAACAAGAAGAGAGACTACAACAGTGGCAAGAAGTATAAATGGAAAACATTAGTAATTTTTTGTCTTTTACACAAGGAGGATACATTAACCATCGACTTAACCAGCCCCAGACAATGACAAGCCCTATCCAGACCCTGCAGCTAAACCCTATTGCAGACATATTCAGTCTCGTTAGAAGTCACATCCCAGATATGAATGCCAGTAAGAGGAGTGATTCAGTAAGAAGGAAGCCAAAGGAATACGATGGGAAAGCACCGTGGGAAGCATATAAAGCACAATTTGAGCTTCTGGCAGAAATAAATGGATGGACAGAAGAGCAGAAAGTAGTATATCTGGCAACGAGCTTGAAAGGATAACCACTGGAAATACTTGGACAGTTGTCAGCAGACGACAGACACAACTACAGAGCACTGGTGTCGGCTCTATAACTCAGGTACGGAACCCAAAATCAGTCAGAAGTCTACAGGGCTAGGTTTAGGACGAGAATCCGTGCTAAAGGGGTTAGCCTGCAAGAGCTGGCACAAGACTTGGAAAGCATGGCATACAAGGCCTACCCAACTGCACCACCCTATCTCCTCGAGTTGTTGCTAAGGCATCAGTTCGTAGATGCCTTGGACAGTCCACAACTTAAGATAAACGTGAAGCAAGCAAACCCCTCTACCATGCAGGATGCAATGACCAGAGCTCTCAAATTTGAATCCTACGTTAAGTCCAGCACAGAGGTACCGAGGTTGGTACAGTCATCTGGATTCAAGGCCAGAAAAGGTCAGCTTTCAGAGAGGTTTGAGGGACTTTGCTGGCACTGTAATAAACCTGGGCAAAAGAGAGCTAAATGCTGGAAACTTCAACACAGGGGAGGTGCCACAGCAGGAAAGGCTGGTATCCAGAAAGGTTGTTGGAACTGTGGAAAGCACGGACATTTGAGTAGCAAGTGTAGGAAGAATATTACAAACAAGTCGGCATCAAGGAGACCAGTAGTGGTTGTTGTTGAGCGACACTCACCAACCCCCATCGTGAAAGCCCCAACAGCTAGGTGTAAAATGCCAAGCACACACAGTGTCTATGTGACAGGGAAGCTGGATGGTCAAAGGTGCAACTTTGTCATAGACTCTGCGTCTCAGCAAACCCTTGTGAGCATCAAGGTGTTAGATCATGAAGGAGTACCAGAAGCCATACCGAAGCTTTATGGTGTGACAGGACATTCTACAAGATTGTGGAGACCAGTGTGGATAACTATTGAGCTCATGGGCATAAAG